TCCATGTGGACAGTGCTTAGTAAAAACATCAGCTACATGGACTGAAGGGGTCTTAAGTATATGCTTTTGTTGTTTATTCTTATGTACCTCCTATTTTTGAAGAAATCTTTTAAAAAGAATATATACTCTTTGCCTGGGCATTCTAAAAACCTCAACAATTCCTTAGGAGAACTGCTTAATTTATCTTATGATAGAACTACACAGCAAACATGGGCCTTCTGCCACCAAATCTTGGATTTATTCTTCAAGTGGTGATGGAAATCTCGTAATTTTTATGGTAAATGATGTACGAAACATAATAAAAAATATGGTGTCTGATATATATTGGTAATAAATAGTTTGTTACTGGCAATTCTTGTGAAATGTGATTTAAATAATAAAATATGTCAGTAGATGTTAATTACACAGTCCTTTATAAGATACTGTGTTCTTCTGATTAAAAAAGAAAAAGTACCATATAATTAATTCTACAAATGTATATTGAAAAAAGCATTAGACTCTGGGGATACAAAAATGAACAGGCAAGGTATTTGCATTGTAAGAACTTTCATTCCATCCCAGGAATTGTGAACTGTCACATTGCTGGAAAAGTCTGTGGCAGTCAATATCAAAAGCCTTAAAAATGTGCCTACTTCTTGGTCTAGTACTTCTACTTCTAGGAATTTGTCATAAGAAGAGAATCAAAGATGTGCATACTAACTTAATTTTGACCCCCTTCCTTCTTAGTGGAAGTTTTTTAATGTCAAAAAAAAAAAAAAAAGGATTATACAGATACTTGATTTGGCAGCAAGAAAGATCTCATTTCCTCCTCTTTCCTTACTTTCATTGAGTAGACAGTGAAAGAGGGGGAAGACAAGAAATGTTCATCTGCTGATATACAATGCATTGATTCCTTCCTTTGGCATATCTTGCTCATACTGTTCTCTTCTTCCCCATCCTCAGCGTTATGTGGCTTTGGAAGTATTCCTATCCTTGGAAGTCTTGCCTACTGAGAAGTAGAGTCTCTGGCTCCCAGCTCTAGGATTGGGTTCAACAAGGGTAGAGGTGGTTCAGAGAACCAGGAGAAGGTTGGGGATGAAGTGGTAGAGGTAGATAGCTTAGGCCTAAGAAGGGTTCCTTTCCTGTTGAGTGTTGGGCAGAATCTGGCGCAGTATCCTATAGAAGCAGAGCAGGTACAGTAAATCCTGGTCAGCTTCCAATCAGAAGGGTTTTGGAAGGAACTCTCATCTGTTGAGGATGATTGCTACAAGGATGAACTTCTCTGCAGTTTTTATAGACTAGTTAAACTGGTATGCCTATGTACTATGCCAATAAAAAAGTAAAGAAATTAAAATATAGTGATTGACATTTATAATACAGTAAGTGACAAAAGTGTATTTTGTAAAATTTACTTATTTGTTATGTAACCAGCATTATGGTCCCATACCTCTTGTCTTCATTAACACATTCCATATAAATTTCCATCTCTGGATAAATTTCATGCTATGCTTACTTCACTGCAATTCTGGAGCTGAAGAGTATTGCTGATTTAAGCCATACAGCCAAGCTCTTTGATGTTCAGTACCTCTTTTTTTCATTTTTCATTGTTATTTCCAACAAGGATAACCAAAAATCCATCACCAGTGCATTGATTCTGACTCATAGTGACCCCATAAAACAGAGTACAATTGCCCCAGAGGATTTCCAAGGCTGTAAATCTTCACAGAAGCAAGTCTTCTTTACAGAAGCCATTTTCTTCTTTCTTGGAGTAGTTGTTGGGTTCCAGTCACCAACCTTTCAGTTAGCAGCTGAATACTTAAACACTGTACCACCAGGGCTCCTTTGTTGTTATTGTTGTTGTTATGTGTTGTCGAGTCGGACCCGACTCATAGCGACTCCTTCTTGGGTTTCCAAGGCAGTATCACTACGGAAGTAGAGTGCCCCATCTTCCTTCCAAGGAGTGGCTGGTGGGTTTGAACCGCCAGCCTTCTGGTTAACAGTCAAGTGCTTTAGGCACTATGCTACCAGAGCTCCTCAGGGCTCCTTTGGACAAGGATAATTCCAAATTTTTCTTCTTTTCTCATGTGTATGGTGCCATGCTCATCTTTTCACATGAAAGGAACACCTAAATTTCCTTCCTCTCCACTTCCATTTGTCAATGCACTTCATGGATTTGAAGTTTCTAGCATTTTGGAGCTCATCATCATTAGAAACAGTCCTGTCTTTTTAAATGATAGTTTGTAGGTGAACAAGTCTTATTATATCCTGCAAAATATTTGAGCATAGCAAACATTCTTTTTCATGTTTGCATTCCTGGTGTTTGAAATTATTAAATTATTCCAGATGACCATGAATTTGGTGGTTTCTTGATACTCTGCAGTAAATGTTGCTGTTGTTTCTAGGTGCCATTGAGTTGGGTCTGACTCATATTGACCCTGTGTACAACAGAATGACATGCTGCCTAGTCCTGTGCTATTTTTTATAATTGTTGCTATGTTTGAGCTCATTGTTGCAGCCACTGCGCCAGCCCATTTTGTTGAGGGTTTTCCCCTTTTTTGCTGACCTTCCACCCTACCAAGCATGATACCCTTTTCCGGGTACTGGACCCTTCTGACAACATGACCAAAGTATATGAGACAAAGTCTGGCCATTCTTGCTTCTAAGGAGGATTAGGGTGTACTTCTTCCAAGACAGATTTGTTCCTTTTTCTCGCAGTCCGTGGTATTTTTAATGTTCTTCACCAACACCACAATTTACATTGCCCTTCTCTTCACTCAAATCACCAACACCACAATTTAAATGCATCAGTTCTTCTTTGGTCTTCCTTATTCATTGTCCAGCTTTCACATGCTATATATGAAGCTATTGAAAATACCAATGGCTTGGGTCTGGTGCACCTTAGTCTTCAAAGTGACATCTTTACTTCTTAACATTTTAAAGAGGTCTTTTGCAGCAGATTTGCCCAGTGAAAATAAATCATCTGATTTCTTGACTGCTGCTTCCATAGGCATTGATTGTGGGTTCTTGTAAAGCAAGGTCCCTGACAACTTCAATCTTTTCTCTATTTATCGTGATGTTGCTTATTGGTCCAGTTGTGAGGATTTTGGTTTTCTTTATGTTGAGGTGTAATCCATACTGAAGGCTGAATAGTCTTTGATCTTCATTAGTAAGTGCTTCAAGTCATCTTCACTTCACTTCAGCAAGCAAAGGTGTGTTATGTGCATATCTCAGGTTGTTAATGAGTCTTCCTCCAGTCTTCATGCCACGTTCTTCATATAGTCCAGCTTTTTGGATTATTTGCTCAGGGATTGAATATGTATGGTGAAAGGATACAACCATGATGCAAACCTTTCCTCACTTGAAACCACACAATATCCCCTTCTTCTATTCGAATGACTGCTTTTTGGTCTATGTACAGGTTCCTCGTGAGTACAATTAAGTGTCTGGAATTCCCATTCTTCACAATGTTAGCCATAATTTGTTATGATCCACACAGTTGAATGCCTTTGCATAGTCAATAAGGCTCAGGTAAACATCTTTCTGATATTCTTTGTTTTTAGCCAAGAGCCATCTGACATCAGCAATGATACCCCTCATTACATGCCGTCTTCTGAATCCAGCTTGAATTTCCGGCAGTTCCTTGTCAATATACTGCTGCAACCATTTTTGAATTATTTTCAGCAAAATTTTACTTGCATGTGATATTAATTATGTGGTTCAATAATTTTCACAATCTGTTGGATCAGCTTACTTTAGAATGGGCACAAATATAAATCTCCTCCAGTCAGTTGGCCAGGTAGCTGTCTTCCAAATCTCTTGGCATAAATGAGTGAGCACCTTCAGCACTGCATCTGTTTGTTGAAACATCTCAATGGATATTCAGTCAATTCATGGAGCCTAGTTTTTTGTCAGTTCTTTAAGTGCAGCTTGGACTTCTTCCTTCAGTACCATTGATTCTTGATCATATACTACCTCTGGAAATGGTTGAACACTGACCAGTTCTTTTTAGTACAGTGATTCTGTGTATCCTTTCCAGCTTCTTTTGATACTTCCTGCATCATTCAATATATTGCCAATAAACCAAAACTCCAAACTCACTGCTGTGGAGTCAGTCCTGACTTATAGCGACTCCTCCTTGGGTTTCCAAGGCAGTATCACTACGGAAGTAGATTGCCCAAACTTCCTTCTGAGGAGTGGCTGGTGGGTTTGAACTGCCAGCCTTCTGGTTAGCAGTCAAATGCCTCAGGCACTACACCACCAGAGCTCCTTATAGTATCCTTCAATATTGTAACTTGAGACTTGAAGTTTTTTCTTAGGTCTTTCAACTTGAGCAATGCCGAGTGTGCAGTAAATGTGGCCACCGTATATCGGTTGGTTGTAAGATACTGTCTATAAGGTGCTTTTTTTAAAAAAGCCTATTTGAACAGTTGAAAACAAAATAAAACGAAACAAATTCACTGCCAACTCATAGCGACCCCTCCCAGCAAAATTGCTGTTTAATTTTTTTTTTTTAAACAACAGTTTTTTAATCAATCATTTTGGTATTGAATGCAGTTTTCTTGAATTAATGGAAATAAATTTTAGTAATTGATTTCAAGCTCGATGATACTGTACTCTTTAGCCATATTGCTATAATTTAATGTAATTGAAAGTAGAATTCAATCAGTTCTTAGTTTGGTAGTTAATATGTTGTGAATCTTAGATTTAGGTATAGATAGCAGTCTCTCATTGGATATAGATTAGTTAGAAAGTTCTTTTGAAATAATTTTTAAATATTTCTAACAGAAGAAAACTGATTTGCTTTTTCCATTTTCACTAGGTAAGAATATTAGTAGTAGAGTGATAGACAGAAATAGCCAGTTTTTGCTAATGAGCAAGTAATTTTATAAATTAAAAATTTGTAGAACTGTGTATTGTGTCCAGAAGAGTTTTCTTTAAAGTACCTATGCCTAACAAATAGAGTGAAAAAAAATCTACTTATACGACAATATTCCTTTCCTTTTTTCCTCTCTCTTTTTTAGGCCTCATTGCTACGATTTCAGAGTACCTTGGTAATAGCTGAGCATGCAAATGATACCCTAGCACCCATTTCATTAAATACCATCACTGCAGCCAAACGTCTTGGAGGTGAAGTTTCCTGCTTAGTAGCTGGAACCAAATGTGACAAGGTGAGAAATTTTTAAGGTCAGCCATAGCAAATATAATCTCCATCAAGAGACAGGGAAGGATGGCAACAGAGAATTATGCTGGGGACGTAACCCAAACTGGGCTCTAATCCTCATTAAATGGCCAGTGTCACAACTATTACTATGTGTGAAAAAGGAACTAAAAGGTTTGCTCACTTAAGCATTTTATCTTTTGAAATGAAGTAGAGTGCTTGATTTAGTTCCACTGGCACCATCATGTGCCATCAGGTACCAAGTAGAATGATAATATTTGAGTCCCCTTAGAGGTTAATAGCCGATACCTTTTTTGTACTGATGAATATACTTGCTAATTGCATTTAATTCCTGAAAGTGGTAAATCTGGACAAAGTATCACAGGTGTTAATTTTTAACTGGTGTAAGAATTCAAATGTAAGTCTATTCTTTTCAAACTAAGTTGGTGCTAAGAGAGATTGTTGTTTGTGTTTTGTTTTATTTATTTATTTTGGTGATACTGAAATAAGATAATAACAGCTTTGGAAACTGACCCTCTAGAAAGATGCTATAGTACTATTTACAGAGTCTGTGCCACTGTGTTGCAGAAATCATGCTTTAGTTAAGTTTACATGGCTTGAGCCACTAGTTCCTTCTTACTCTGTGTAGAAGCTGCTGAATGTAATTAGGAGCTTGGAACTCTGAAGGAGAGATCTGGAGAGAACATATTTCTTTTTTAGAGCATTTTGTTGACTTAGTTTTTTTTATTAAGTGACATTGATACAGAGAATGTAATAATGCAGGTTCAGAATGCTGGTGTCATTTCTGTTTTTTTTATTTGAAATTAGTATCATAAACAATGGATTCTAGCAGATTTAGGGTTAAGTTATGCAGATTTTTTTTAACCTAAATCATACTAACAACTATTACATCTTATATAGTTGGTATAAATTACAATGCATGATAATAGGGCTAAACTGTCTTTTCGTTGCTCTACTTTCAGATATACAAGTTCTGTTCTTTTTTCTGTGTGTTATTTTAAATAATTATTCTAGTATTACAAAGTATTAAAATATTTTAAATGATATTTTATTTACACTATTTTGAGAAAAAGCAAACCAGAAACCATCTTCTCTACTCAGTTATAATCTTAGATGTAATTTCTAGCTTAAATAGTGATAATCACTACTTGTATTAAGAGACTCTGTTAATAGCCAAGGCAAAGTTCACTATTACCCTATTTTCTGTATTATTTATTATAAGGACTAAGTGATGATTATTCTGTATTGTGCCAAAAGTTTTTTTTTTTTTTTTTTAATTGTGATTTGGGTGAAGATTTACAGAGCAAATTCACTTTCCATACAGCAGTTCACATATACTTTGTCTCATGTCATTGACCAC